CCTTCTGATTCTATCTTTCAAGTTTTGAGACGATAGGCATGCACCCCTACATCTTATATTTCTTTGAAGCAGGGTCTCACTCTAGGTCAGATAGGGCTGGACAGCATTCTACAGCCCAGGCTGGTTTCAGCTCAGAGTGATCTTTCTGTCTTGGCTTCCCAAGTGTTGGGGCTACAAGTGTGTGTTACCACACCTGGTTTGCCATGTTAGTAATCATAAACCATCAAAGCTAACCACGTTTGAGGTATTCCAGATTTCTACTATGAAATCATGTTACCTGCATAACAAAGATTATCTTTTTTTTCTTAAATTATAGGATGCAATTCACATCAGGTTAATATATTAATAAACCTCTGGAGAGGTAAAATTATTATTATCATTATTTTGATAGTAAGTTTTTGGGTTTGGGTGAGGATGCGTTTTGCTATAAGGTTCTACAGTTTCTTCTTTTTTATGCATTTATATATTGTAACAGAAGTTGTTTTGACTCTTATGGTGATGTGTTCATTTTTCTTCCTTGTAAAACTAGAATCACAATTTAAGACAGCCAGAATTTGGTACATAGGGATGGACGGGATTGAAATAACTCTGCCTCACGCAAGAGAAATCTTGTTCTTTATACCTGAGTTGCACAAGACCTCTTGTTATGCTCGGATTTGTACTAAGGACACAGGCAGACTCTCTAAGCCTAAATTTCCCCCTTCCTGTGTAGTTACTATAACTTTGAAGAGGGAAATCTTAATTATTTTTCAGTATCCCTTTAATTCCCCTCTAATTTTAAACTCTTATTTGATAACCTGAAAAACCTCGGCTGTGTAAAACCGTGCTTTGCTTCATTTACCCCTGTTCCTCTCATGACCTTTACACAATGAAGGAGGACACCTTTGTGCATGGAGAGCCAGAAGGCAGCCTTTTGTCCTTGTTTTGCTTATTACTTGGGACCAGAGGTTATTTAATCTTGCCGCTTAGTTTCTTCAATGCTAAGGAGACAATAGTATCCTATGCTTCAGAGAAAAATTTTACTATGAAAATAATATATAAAAAGAAGCTAACATTGTCATATTATTATTAATCATATTAATATACTATTAACTATATACCTATATAATATATAAATAATTATGTAATTAATATAATTGTATTAATAATAATATTAATAATAGTTGTTATTTGTGGATAACACTTCTAAATATGAGGAACAAAGCAGATTGAACAATGTCCTTACACCTGGAGATAAAGAAACTCGGAAATGAGATCAGAAAGACTGAAAAAGGGAAAAGCAAACACATTGTTAATTATGAAGGGGTAACAATCTAACAAAGGTGCCACCTTGAAAGGCCAACACAAACTTTAAATTTCTTTCTAATTATATAACATCCTGTCTAGCCCTTTAGGTAGTAGACATCTGTTGATGACCAGGTTTACTTCTATAGGGATAGGCATGCCTACAGATTCACAGGTGACTAAGGCAGTGAACATCCTACCTTGAAAATTATTTAGATATATCCTGAAAGGACAAGTCTCTTAAGCTTTGGAGGGTTAACTGGGAGATAAAGGGTCTTTTGGGGGCAAGGTATCATGCTTGTATAGTCAAATGGTTTGATTCCTCCTGTCTTGCCACATAGAGGCACTGGTGACTGGACATTAAGAGAATCTTTTCAGGAACCTGAACTCAAATTTCCTTTCATGCCTGTTTAGTATATAATGGAGCTTCAACTTAGTTAAAAATGTGTGAATAAAAGAATAAGGCTCTGGAATTTTTTGACCAAAAAAAAAAAAAAAAACAAATGAGAAGAAGGAGGAGGAGGAAGAGGATGGTGATGATGAGGAGGAGGAAGAAAGAAGAAAACTATGTAATCTACAGTAAATCTTATATACTTTTTTTGAGAGGGCAGGTGCAGAAGATAGGATCTCACTGGCCTGGAACAGAAGGTCCCCTTGCGTTGTGAATAGTAGATGTTGGGATAACACTCTGGTGAGGTGTCATCACACTGATTTATTTTCTTTTTGTTTCTTTCTTTCTTTCTTTCTTTCTTTTTTTGTTGTTGTTTTTTCGAGACAGAGTTTCTCTGTGTAGCCCTGGCTGTCCTGGAACTCACTCTGTAGACCAGTATTTTCTTTTTGTTAAATAGTAGGTTTATTTGGAATTGTAGTGCCCCCAGGAACTTCAAATACTTTGTTACCATCCAACATCCAGTATTCAAATCTCCCTGTTTTTGAAATTGTGTTACAAAGTCTTTGGTGTGTTTGAATCAACACTCAAAAAATGATGACTAGTGTGGTGAGTCATGCCTACCATCTCAGCACTGGTGATGCTGAGGCAGGAGGATTGGTGTGGGATCCAAGCCAGCCTGGAGTGCTGAGTGGAACTCTGTTTCATCTTCTCTCTCTCCGCACCTCATCCATTATGAAACAAATTTTCATCATCACGCATATTGGCTAGATACAATTTACTGCTTAAAATAACCTCAATACTTTCTTGTTATTTTAACATATTCCAGTGAGCAATAGGATTTAGTGGTTGATTCAAGGTGCCTTCATGTGCTTTACAAATGACACCTGAAGGTCTTGTGATGAAATTACAGAGTAAATTACCGTAAATAACAGCTTGGCGTTAACTTGGACATCAGAAGCCAAAGGAGAGCAATGAAAAGGACACACACTAGTTTGTTTAGCATATTTGAATGGAGACATTGTCCCCTCCAGGGTTACGTGAATAGACTGATTTTTCTTCAGCCACCTAAAACAGCTTTTCTCAGCCTTCCTAACACTGCCACCCTTTAATATAGTTCTTCACTTTGTGGAGACCCCAACAATGAAATTATCTTCAGTGCTACTTCATAACTGTAATTTTGCTACTTTTATGAATGGTATGTAAAGATCTCTGTTTTCCAATGCTCTTAGGCAACGCCTGTGAAAGGGTCACGACCCTCAGGTTGAGAACCACTGATTTAAAATGTTATCACAGCTCTCATGTTTCTTTCTCCAAAGAGTTACAGGAGTAAAGAGTTAGAGACCCTTAGCATGCATAACCTCCACCATCTCTTCCAGTAAGTCAGGTGGATGCATTCCTAAGGAAGTCCAGTATTAAAAGCTCTCTGGACAGTAGCCCCTACCCGTCACAAATAATCCATTATCCTTGGGCTTCTTAATTAGGACTTGTGGCTCTAACACTGACCCTAACTATCATTACCTATTGTTTATATTTCATCATTCATATGCCCACTACCCCATCTTAAAAGATTACATTTATTTATGTGTGATATCTCTCTCCCTCTCATTCAGGCACGTGCATGCGCGCACACACACGCACACACACACACAAGTGTCACGGTGCGGGTGTAGAAATCACTATGTGGTTCTAGGGGATTGAACTCAGGTCACCAGGCTTGGTGACAGGTGCCTTTATCTGAGCTACCTTGTAGATATCAGTATCCTTACCTTAAAAAGACTACTGACCCTCAAGCCTGGGGCTTCCACTTTGTGGGTCTGTTTTGCATCTTGGGTTGGGATTAGCGCAGTGTGCCGCCATGCCCGGCTCTCAGCTGGTTCATTTTTCCAGCACGCTCCCTTCCCTTGTCTGCTGGTCCTATCAGCACTGCAGGTAGTTCTGATCTGGGACTGAAACTCATGATCTTTTGGCTCGGGCTCTGGGAACTGAGTCATTCTGGCACTGACAATATTCTGTGACTCAGCAGGTCCGAAAAGGAGGATGTCAGAATCCAGATAATTTCGAGTCTTTTAAAGGCAAACTGGGAAACACAAACAACAGAATGGAAGAATTTCAAAGCGGGTCTGCGTATCCAGGGGAAAATGTCATTCCATTCCCAGCCTTCTCACTTCCTTCCTTGCCGGGGTAAATGACAGTCACACTTTAATTTAGAGCAAAGAAATCACAAAATTGACTCTGAAGCTGAGATCGAGCGAGCCCTGTGTCCCACAGGGATCCAGTCCCTGGGACACCTCGGCTCTCTCCCCTCAGCGATACAGGAGACACGCCCGGGACGGATGGGGAGGGCGAGGTCACGCAGGCCACCGCACCGCTGTGATTCAGGTCAGGTAGTGGCTGAGCTATACCATAAGGACTGACATCTTGGGCCAGGGTCCAAATCCTCATGAAATTAAAAAGACGGATTCCGGGCCACCTCACCCACCTGGGTCGCCCTTTAAGAATCTCCTCTTAGTCTCATACCCTCCAGGGCAAGATCCTCTAAGGAACACGACCTGGATGAGGATTCCCAACAGGGTGCCGGATCTTCACCGAAGCCCCTGCCCTCCCAGCATGCACCGCCCTGCACCCCACGCCCCACGCCCCGCCCTCCTTCCTTCACTCACTCTCCCTCTCCGCCCACTTTGGCCCCTCCCTCTTACCCCCTCGCCCAGCCCACCCCCTAGTCACGCCCATCCAGAAGTCCTCCTACTTGACCCCCTGCCTCTTCCATCTCGCGCCCCCCTCCCTTTTGCTGTCGGTCCCGCCCACCTCGCGCCCCGCCCTCCTACTTCACCTCCCCGCCCACCTCGCGCCCCTCCCTCTTGCTCCCTGTCCCGCCTATCTCGCTTCTCTGGCCCACCGCCCTCCAGGCCTGAGAGCCAGCGGTTGCTACTGCCGCCGCCGGGAGTCGCTGGGGAGGACCCGTAGGGCGGGGAGCAGCTCCGGGCCCGCGTGAGCTGCCGAGGAGGCCGGTCTTGGGTTTTCTCCACCGCCAGATCCCACCCCACCAGGCAGACCCCACCCCCTGCTCCTTCCTCCTGGGGCGCGCTCTCGAGTGCGCGCTCGGAAGTCGGGGGTCGGCGCAGAGTGCAGGCTGCTCACCGGGAGGCAGCGGAGGCAGCGCGATCTTCGCTTAGACGCCCACCCATCGGCTCTGCGTCCGGCTCTCGGCCTCCAGCCCGGTCCGCAGTCCGGCCTCGGCCCGCAGCGGAGGATCGGCCTTGGGGCACGCCGCTAGGCGAGTGCAGCGAGGCACCCCAGCCTTTGCCGAGGGCCCGCGCTCAGCGGGATGACGGGCGGCGGGCGGGCCGCGCTGGCCCTGCAGCCCCAGGGGCGGCTGTGGCCGCTGCTGGCTGTGCTGGCGGCTGTGGCGGGCTGTGTCCGGGCGGCCATGGACGAGTGCGCGGATGAGGGCGGCCGGCCGCAGCGCTGCATGCCGGAGTTTGTTAATGCCGCCTTCAATGTGACCGTGGTGGCTACCAACACGTGTGGGACTCCGCCCGAGGAGTACTGCGTGCAGACTGGGGTGACCGGAGTCACCAAGTCCTGTCACCTGTGCGACGCCGGCCAGCAACACCTGCAACACGGGGCAGCTTTCCTGACCGACTACAACAACCAGGCCGACACCACCTGGTGGCAAAGCCAGACTATGCTGGCCGGGGTGCAGTACCCCAACTCCATCAACCTCACGCTGCACCTGGGTAAGCAGTGACAGCCCTGTCCCCACTACTCGCTCACGGTCCAGCTCCGGGGCTGCCTCCCTGGAGCCGCTGGTCCGGCCTGAGGGGCCTGTCCAGCCGCGTGCTGACGCTCTGTTCTCCAGCGTGGGCCACACACAGAAATTCCTTTCTCCAACTTCTAAAATTCATCTCGCTTTGAACATCCGGTGAGGGCCACCATGTCCCACGCTAGCATCTTTCTCTTTTCTTACTCTTTCTAGCCCAACCAGATTCTCGTTCCATTGATTCTTTTCTATTTCAGCAGTTAGGATTTTGGACCTACACGCCCTTTTCCACCCTGAGGCGCTAATGAAACACTCATCCTGGCAGGACGGGACTATCACATAGCATGCTTACATTAGTCTTGAAGGTCCACCTTCAAACACTTGTCTTTAAAATGTTTAATTGTCTGTCTCCAGGGTTGAGAATGATTGCTTTTAGTTCTGATAAAGGAATTTGAGGGGAGCAAATGCATTTACTGCCGGCATTTCTATGTGTAATTAAAGTAGTTCACTTTTAAAGTTACTGTTCTTCAGAGCTGTTCAGCCTTAATTAAGAGCTGTTTCACTGCTAATCCTGGTAGGGAGAAAACAAAAAGGTAATGAAGACACTCACTGTAATTGCGGACAGTTTGGTTCCGGTGTAAAAAGGCTCAGAGAGTCTCCTGGATGTCTTCCCTTTTGCTTTGATCTGAAGCAAGTGTGGAAACATGCATGTTTTAGAATTCAGGAGAGGGCTGTGTAGTAAGAGACTTCATGGCAGAACCGTGAGTGAGCAAGGCTGTGATTATCTGAATGGACCAACATTTCTGCTGTACCTAGGGATGTTTTCTTTACTTTCAAAACAGACAAGGGAGCAGAAAATTTCATTGCTGTGTTCAGTAGTGCAACATTAAGTGTGAAAAACTGATTGTCGATGTGTAGACCCTCTCTTCCATTCCGTTGGAGCCCTGGATTTTTATCAGTTCTTGGTACTAAAGAACTTCTGAGGAGAGCAAACTGTCCCAAGCCTGTCCAAAGCATGGCAGTTCTACGGAGCAAATAACATCTGGGACATTTGAAAGGGACGTTTTGTAGGCAGATCATCCTCTGATCACGGTTTTGTAGTTTTCTTTCCGTTCGTCTTCAGTATACCAAACATATTATCAGGGAATTTTTTTCAGAGAAAGAGTATGACTTAGAGAAAGTGCCTTGAGAGTGTAAATTACTGTGTGTGGAATAAGTTTTAGGAAAGCAGTATTTATTGCCTTTGTAATACTTTGTCGTATATACTGTCTTTTTATTTGTAGATGAGTCACCAAGCAGATGGAACTTTTTTGAAAACAAGTTCATAAATGAAAGTGTGAGGCGTCCAATTTTCGTTAATTAAATACACGAATGAGTTCAGTTTTGAAAAGGCATTAGAACTACATAGAAGTGTCAAAGTGATGTCTTGGCCAGATGCCTTTCTCAAGACAGTGGGAAGACACCCGGCTTCCCAAGATCTCTGGGAGTTCTTTTAAATATCTTCAGAATTTTTAAGTTCTATAATTTATGTCCAGTTATTTTGAACATTTTTAACTTTTTTTTTTATATTCAATTCTGAATCTCCTTGAAGTTTTGCTTACTCCGTTTTCAGATTTAAAAAAAGAAACAAAATTCAAAGAAAAGGCATGGCCTTGATGTCTACCCAAGTGCTTGAGATGCAGTTGAAAAGTTCTGAACAATAGGCTGTCAATCTCTGCTTTCCTCCTTCTCCAGGCGTAGGAGCTGAGGTTTGTTTCAGGTGATTGCAGAGGGAGACATAGTACTTACTCTCTGGTAAAGTCTCTGTTGCAGCACATGTGGTAGGGTAAGAGAGAACAGCCTGGTTGCTACTGTTGGGAGCTAGATATATTAGCTTTGGGCCATGTTAATAACAAGGCCAAAGCACTCTTCCATCTCATTAGGACGGCAACATGACATTTTCTATATGCTTGGACTTGATTTTGCTGAAAAATCCTTCAGTTGGTTGCTAAATGACATTCCTAAAACAGAGCCTCACTCTGGCTGGAACTCACTACATAGACCAGGCCTGCTTTGAACTCATAGAGACTCACCTGCTTCTGCTTCCGGAGTACTGGGATTCAGGGTGTGAGCAGCCACACCCATTGGGTTTACTCTTAAGAAAAGGTTTAAAATATTTTCACAGCAGCGTGCTTTACACTTTTTAGACAATTTATGAAAACTAGACTGGACTTACTATGCTTGTTTTGGGTTGGAGATGAAGTCCTGGAGGAAGTGTGTGGCAGAGTAGCTGGGGAGGGGAGAGCTTTATGTGTTTGGGGGTTGACGTTTCTGGCTTCTGTCCCACCTCTTTTTTTTTTTTAATGACCGGGTATATATGCATGAATGCTGTGCTCAACAATTTAGGGCAGGTAGGCAAGGATTGAATGTTGTGATATTCAGCGTATTCACCTCTTGACTCCAGTTACTCTGTGGGCTGTAGCTAACTAATTATTTCCCATGGAGTCAAGTACCATGACTGTTTTGTGTATCCGTTAAATCTCCCATCCAGTTCACATTTCACATACCCTTAAACAAGTGATGCATATTGTGCCTTTCCCCTCCAGAGCATGTGAAACTGCAGTGTACAGGGAGTGGGAGTGGACCCAGCCTCCAGCCTGTCTGTCCATTGTGACCTTTACTCACTGCAAACCTTGAAAAGAAACCAAGTCCAGGGGTGGGTGTGTTAGAGCATTCTGGGAGGCTACCATAGGTGGATTCTAAGAGTTGAAGACCAACCTTGACTACATAGCAAGTTCCAAAACAGCCAGAGCTACTTAGTGAGACCCAATCTCAAAATGTAGAGAGAAAAAAAAAATTAAATCAGATCATGCTTAAGTAGTTAAAAAATTACACACACACACACACACACACACACACACGTACATGAGTGCACACACATGCACACACACACATACATGTTTTAGCAATAGTCATGAGTCACTTATTATAAAAATGAAACATGACTAGATATAGTCAAATAATAAATATAGCAAATAGTTTGCCTTTAGTTGCTAAACTCCACACCCAGGAGACCACAATGACAGGCTTTTATGTAATCCTTCAGACATGTTCACATACCGGATCACAAGATCATTTTAGCTGGTACCTTTTGGAGAAGGTGTCTTAACATTTGGCAGGTATAAATTAGGTCCTTGTATACAATACTCACCACCTGAAGTAAAAAAAAAAATATCCAGGAAAACAAGCATGGATTCTGACAACTGCCATTTTAAAAGTGTAGCATTTACCTTTGATAATAACACTATAAGTAAGTTTTAACAATATCCAGGGACACATTGAAAGTGCTGTAGCTGAGGATTTTATTTTTTTAAACAGTCCCTTTAATTAATTTAGTAATCACTGTGGATAGAAACTTGGCAGGTAGGATTTTGATCTTGCACAAAGGTAACCTTTTCTTATTCTTAAAACAATTAGGTTAAGAACCTGTTTTATAAAAGCAACTCAGTTGAAGTTTATGGAATTTCCAAAGTTAGCATTGCAACCCAGTTCCCAAGCACTTCATCAGCTTCAGGGATGGATGGTGTCATCTATACGAAGTGTGTGTGTGTGTGTGTAAATCAGAATCAACACAGAGAGTGATTTGGTCCTCCTATGAGTGTGCGTATTAATATTTAACATGAAACAAACAGCAAAGTTTCCTTTTCTCCTGGGGAAATCTTTGTAATATGGGCTCTGACTATGGTTGGTGAGTAGCACAAGCAGGTGACTTCACTGTGGTATTTGTGCACCCTAAGGGGACACTATTTTCATTTGTCTCACAAAGGCCTGATTTACATTTTACAGGTTTCAACTTGACAAGTCCAGGAGCTGTTCTTTAATGGCCAGTAGTTGCTGAATGGTTTTGTAAAAGTTGCTGTTGGCTATGTCCCTCTTCTACAGTTCATTGCTTTCTTTGCAAATTCCTTCTCCTTTATTTTTTTTTTTTCTAAGACACCCAGAAGACAGCAGACACATCAGAGGAAAAGTTAGAGCCCTGAGACCCCGCTCCATCACTTTATCCTTGGTCACATTGGTGTCGGAGGCATAACATTGGGTTATTTCAGTCCTAAATCCTTTTAGGAAGCTGCGTATGCTTTTTATCATGCCCCCCCTTCGCTGTGTGCATACATTCTCATATTACTGCCAGATATTCTGTAAACATTTTTAAAATACCTAAGAAGTGCACACCACAGAGCCTGATAGGAAGGCGTGGAAGATTGACAGCCTTTTTCTAAGAGCTTATGTGCTTCTAAGTGGAATTTAAAGTTGTAATGCTTTTGCCATATTATAGCAAGGGGGTCTTTATAATAATGTTTTACTTTTTTTTTTTTTTAAAGCCTCCAGATTGTCAGTGGTTAGATTTCTTGTAACCCTATGAAGGTGACCATGAGGGTCCTGTAGTTATGATCCCAGGAGTCCTGGGACAGGTGAGTCCTGGACTCCTTAGTAGATTGTTCTCTGCAGCTAATAGTTTCTCTAGAAAATCTCTTAGAAGAGTGTCTGGTTTATTCCTTTAAAGTAAAAGCTTAATGGGGGTGGGGGATGGGGGTGGGGCGGAGAGCTGGCTCAGGTTAAGAGCACTGATTGCTCTTCCAAAGGTCCTGAGTTCAATTCACAACAACCACAGGGTGGCTCATTGTTATCTTTAATGAGATTCAATGCCCTCTTCTGGTTAGTCTGAAGAGTGACAGTGTATGCACGTACATAAAAATAAAATAAAATAAAATAAAATAAAATAAAATAAAATCTCACATACAGATTGATTTAGAGATCCAGACTGCTTTGGTTCTCTTCCTTGATTTCCCATAGGCTGTTGTCCCTTTTTTACTTACATTCCTAAATTCTTATCACTACACACCACACACTGTCCCTGAGGGAACTGTTTACCATATGCAAATGTAAAGTTATGTTTCAGGTTAGCTTTAACTTCAGGTCTAGAGACCTGGATACAGTTGC